AGATTAAGATTGTTCTTCTTTCTTGTGTATGTGGACTTAATTGTTAAAATGTATTGTAATGTTCAATAATTTCTTCAATAAAGGAAAAAAAAGGTAAAAAAGCAACAGTAAGGGTTGACAAAATGACAAATAAGTAGGCTATGTCCGAGATGATAACAAGGCGAAATATTTTAGAAATGTAAAACTTAAAACTTAAAAATTTGTTTTTGGAAATGTCATCCGTGTTTCATGTTTTTGGTTTGATTTCATACATTTTTGAAAAACACTTCTTGTAGCCTACTAAAATATTTTCCAAGCACCTTTAATACAACCTAAAAATGATTAGCAATAATATTAAATGTTATTATATATTAAATAGAGTAAAATATCTTCCGAAAATATAATTATTTTTTAGCAAAGAAGCAAAATGATATTATATATTTCAACCTCATCATAGAAATAGTGTATTCAAGTAATTGTTGTTGGATTTCTTTACTGTTAACACTGTTGCTTTAAGAAATATAATATAACCATTTATATTAATTTAAAGGCACAATATGTAATTTTCGCCGCTAGAGGGCGCGTATTCAAAATAAACAAAGAGGCAAAAGCTTAGTTTGATGATGCCGTGACTGAGTGTGGTATCATGGGAGTTGTAGTCTTCATCCCCACAGCCGAAGCAATCGGACTCAGGCAACAATCATGTTCATGGATGAGCTAATGATTTATTAGCATAGTAGAATGAAGCAGGGTGAGGCTGAAAGCCGTCAAAGCGAAACGAGGCCGCTGAACGAGCGTGACACATGGCTCGAAAGCAGCGGAGCTTTTATTATGCCACAGTCGTCCGCTTCCGCTCCTTCCAGTCGTGTGTATATGGGGGAAAAATGTTTTATCATACTAGATACATTTGAAAGTTCTGTTATAATGCTACTCTGTGCGGTCGTCATAGGCCTATTAAAACGCACAACATATTAACGCGTCTTTGGTGTTTCCTTCTTCTTTGGTGTTTATTGGCGGATGGCAAACCAACTTGTAGGTGCATTACCGCCACCAACTGGACTGGAGCGTGGAACAGAATACGGGCTTATGGGAGTGACAATGCGAGAAGGTGAGGAGAAACCCCCCCCCCAAAAAAAAACCCAAACAAAAAACACACACACACAAAAAAAAATAATAATAATAATAATAAATAAATAAATAAATATATATATATTTATAATAATAAATAAATAAATAAATAAACTGA